CTAGGATAGGGGGAGTGAGCGGCCCCTAAGCCCATGCTGGCTGAAACAATCTCTAGGGGATCAAGTGGCTGCCTGGCATCTTCCCTTTGATACCAACACCGGCATTTTAATAACTGAGACCCATCAGGTGGCTGGCGTTTCAGCCCTGGCCACACAAGGGCATTCCAGGAGGCCCTGGCTGCCAGCCGAGAGCACAGGAAGGCTCTGCCTGGAGAGGCTGGGGCCCTCATCACCAGCACCTCAGAAGGTATGGGGCCCCCAGCCTCCAACTTCAGCCTGGGGTCTCTCACCAGGGCCTCCAACTCAGACACCTAAGGGGGCAGAGTTGGTGGGCTGAGCGGGGAAACTGGCCACGGGGAGGGAGTGCCTTGGATGACACTTCTATCCATCTAGAGGTATTTGCCCTCATGAGGCACCTGACTGAGTCACAGCCCATAGCCATGAGGCCCTCCCACTGCTCACGGGATGCTTCAGTCTGATGTTTATACAGAATGCTTGCTGTGTGTCAGACTCTGTTGTAGGCACCAGGGGACAACATGAAGAACACAGAAAATATGATCCATCTTCCTATGGAATTGACTTCCTGTGGCAGAGAGAGGTGACGGCGGAGGGAGATGTTAAAGAGAAAATGAGGCACAGAGAGGGGGTACAAGGTCAGGGGACAGGAAGTACAGGGGATAGGAAGAAAGGAGGGTCTTCTTAGGCACGTGCCAGGTAGACATCTAGACAAGAACATCCTAGAAAGAGAGAGATGGTATGTGCAGAGGCCTGAGGCAGGAGAGAGGCTAGCATGGTATTCCTGGCAGCTGTTTTGAGAATGGGCTGCTGGGTCCAGGGTAGATGTGAGGTGGGGGCATTAGAAAGCTGTCAAGGTCACTGAGTCAGAGATATGCTTGGAGTAGGTGGGGGGGGAAGAGAGGCTTATGTGGGGGTGTGCCTTCACCAGGGGTGCCTCATGGTCCGGCCCTGGCATGAAGGACCAGACAGGCGATAGAGTGAGACAGGGCATGATGGAGGAGTTGGTCTTAGAGGGAGTACAGACTGGGATGCAGAGGTGAGAAGGTGCTTGGGGACACAGATGTGGATGGACAGGTGTGCATGGTGGCAGTCACCTCTGGCGCCCATTTGTGTCTTTGCTGGCATCTTGGTCTGCAATGCTGTTGAGTGAGGGTGAATGTACCCGTCACAGACCTTACAGAATTGTAGCAATTTCCCATCCCCAGCCAAGGCTGATGGGTCACTGACGAGCTGTCATCTGGCAGACGTGTCTCTGCTGCCAGGGCCACAGGTTGGAAAGGATGCAACAATTAATCCTAGAAATCAGCTGGGTGGTCTGGGGCCTTTTCACTAACCTTTGTCATGGGAGGTCATGTGCTCATCTGATGACCCTCAACACCAAGCCTTCCCCTTCCTAAGTGTGGAATGTTCCCTCTTCCTGTCGGCTTTAACCTGAGGACCCCTTCTTGTCCTTACAGTCCCTCCCATCCTGTCTGTCACTAGTACTCTGTACACACTTGCTTCCAGCAGGGTGGATTGACCTTGGTCTCAGAACATCTGAGTTCACAGTTCGGACATACCGCGTGCTGGCTGTGTCACCTTGGGCAAGTTATCTACCCTCTTGTAGTCTGTTTTCTTAAGTAGCAAATGAGGTCACCGGTAAGCCTACCTTAGCATTTGATTACGAAAAGTAGGTGAAATTCTCTATTCCATATCCCCCAGACCTGGGTCAGTACACAATGGGGCTCAGCAGACAGTTTGTTCTAAAGCTTCTGGATCGTCCCCCACCCTCACCAGCTAACAACATCTCCAGTGACATCTTTCAGGTGATTTTCTTCACCTCTATGTGGCCCCACATGAAGGATGAAGTGACTTGGTTAGAGGAAGTAAATGCTTGGCTGGCTGGTCTTTTGGGGCTAACATTGTCAAGAAAGGCCCTCCCCTAGCCTCTCTTGATTTCAAGAGAAATTAGAAATGTAAAGTTGCATGAGAGACTAGCTTTGAACTGCTTGAATGTCTGACAGTGTGGCTCAGATCCCAACCCCTCCTTATTTCCCGTGACCTCAGCTGGCTTCAGGCCCCACTCTGGACTACAAGGTCCTCCCTGTACCGATGACTGACAAGATATACCATACCTGTGGCTGGTGTTCACTGACAGCCTCAAGAAGTCAGGTGGCTTTGCAGAGTGTGTCCCCCTTCCAGACTTCTCAGCAACTGGGGCGGGTGGGGCTGAGATCAGCATAGTCCAGGCATTCTGCCTCCAGCACGGTCTCTGTCAGCCTGTGTTACTCAGGCTCATATAAGGGTCCCACGTGAGAAACAGCGCAGATGTTGGCTTCCATAGCAGTCTGCCACAAATGGCCTTTTTGCATGAACTTTTTGATTTGATTTGATTCGATTTGATTCCTTGCCGCCATGCAGGCACGGTTTCTTGGGATTCAGGGTATCCTGTTTCCTAGGGGCCTTCCAGATTGGCTCTGTGGTTTCAAAGTGTGGAGGAAGAGGTTTGGTGGAGGGGGTGGGGAGTCCAGTGCCTTCCCAGACCGTAGCTTTCCTTCTCCAGCCGACCTGCCTGTGGTCCAGCTTCCTGTGGGTCAGTAGAAAAACAGAAGGCTCTGTCCCTGCCCCAGGAACCTGACTGGTAAAGGGAAACAATTATCAGAGAACCAAGAAACTTATATTATTGTGGGGCTGAGAGTAGATCTTGGACTTGAGTGTGGAGAGTGGCTTATGTTTAATTTCTTTCATTTTTCTGGAGGCCTGTATATTTTTATGGACAAGTGTGCAGAAGTTGATTGGAGAACAAAAGGGCATAATTAATGACAATGAACTGTGAGAACTGACAAGACCTGTTTGCTTGGATTCTTCTGTCTCTGTGGAAGGGTCTTTCCCTCTGCATTAGGAGAAACTGCTTCTTACAAGAGATTTTTCAGCACAAAAGTGAGAAAGGGCAGAACGTGACCCGTCTAGGTTTTGGCATTTTTTGACATAGAAAGGAACAATATGAAATTCTAATATCTATGACCTATTTCAGGGGAGAACGTGGTAAGAGATATTTTAAGATGCAATATTTTAATTATGCTATTTTCTCAATTTTTTTTCATTTTTAAATGTTCAAGTTCAAATGGCCACACTTGGGAGTAGATTTCCTGAAAACTTATAAGTAAAATTTTTCTTACCATTGTTAGAGCAAAGCATCCCTTAAAAATCAATCTTTAAGGGTTTGGAGAGGTGACTCAGCAAGTAAAAGTACTAGCTGCTCTTGCAGAGGACCTGGAATTAGTTCTCAGCATGCACATGGTAGCTCACATCCATCTCTAGCTCCAGTTCCAGAGGATCAAACATCGTCTTCTCACCTCTGCTGGCACTAAGCACATATGTGGTACACATACATAGAACCAGACAAAACACTCATACACATAAAAAGAAATAAATTGTAACATGTTTATGAAGTTTTCCATTAACAGTAGAGTAACGAACACACATTTACTATGTAGCTCCCGCCCCTTCTCATGCACAGCTGCTCCCTTTATCAATATCCCCTCCAGAGACAGAAGTGTACTATTTTTGCAATTGGTAAACTACACTGAAATATCAATATCACTCAAAGTTGGCATTAAGCTTCATTCTTGGTGTTGCACATTTTGTACAGTGTTGGAAACTGTTAGGTTACATACCTACCATTAGAGTTTCATAAGCTGTAACTTCACTGCCCTAAAAAAATGCACTCCTCAGCTGCATCCCTCACTCAACCAATTCACAAAAGTCAACGTTGAATATTTTTATTATCTCTGTACTTTCACCCTTTCCAAATTCCAGTGTAGTTGTAATTAATGCACAACCTTTCTAATATGTCTCCTTTCACATAGCAAATGGCCATACTTAGGAGTGATTTCCTGACTTTATGTGTTCTCCATGTCTTTTTGTTATTGTGAACTCAATTCTTTTTTTTTTAACTTTTACAAAAACTTTATTGAGAATTTCATACATGTATATAAAGTGTTTTGTTCAAATCCATGCCCACTTCCTCCCCTCCAACATTCCCCCCTCTGAAGAGGTAACCCTAAAATCTTTTAAGGATTAGATACAAGCTCCCAAATACTTTTGACATTTTTGGCCTTTGGAACAGAGTATGTTGCTAACAAGCCCAAGGACGACAGCTGGGGCTACAGGGAGACCCTATCTCAAAAAGACCCCCCAAAAATTTATGATTTTTATTTTATATGTATGTGTGTATTACCTGCATGTAGGTAAGTGCACCCATGTCGTGCAATGTCCACGGAGGCCACTGTCAGATCCCCTGGAACTGGAGTTACGGACAGTTGTTAGCTGCCATATGGGTACTGGGATTCAAACCCAGGTCTTCTGTAAGAGCAGTGTTCTTGACCACTGAGCCATCTCTCCAGCCCCTTACCTCCTATCCTTATCACGCCATCCTCTGAAGGGGCTACCCAAATTGCCAATAGGGAATAGGGATACAGACTTCTCTGGCTTCTTTCATGCTGAACAGGGACACAGGGTGATTTTAAAATATTTTATTTTTATTTTATGTGTATGAGTGTATTGCCTGCATGTATGTAAGTGCACCCATGCCATGCAGTGCTCCCGGAGGCTAGAAGAGGGCATTGATTTCCTTGGAACTAGAGTTGTTGGCGGTTTTTAGATGTCATGTGGGTGCTGGGAACTGAGCAGCCAGTGCTCTTAACTGCTGAGCCATCCCTCCAGCCCTAGCCCTGTGTTTAATTTCTTTAAGAACTTGCTAAAGATATCAGATGTTGAGATGACTGTGATAGGCCTTCTCCTCTGCTTCCTGTCATCACCCACACATCAAGTGGCCAGTGCAGGCCGTGAACTGCCAGGCTTTGATCCCAGAGCACACCCCCTCCCCAGCATCCCTTGATCAGTCCTTTCCCTTCCCCACACTCTCCTTCAGGCCAAGGATGCTGGCTTTCTACGGCTTGGGGTTTACCAGCTGTTGGTGACTTGTCTGTCTTTTTGTGCAGAAATGGAAGTTCCATCTGCGAAGGCGCCGGGAGGCCTCGGAGACGTCTCCAGGATGTAACTGCCCACCAGGTAAGGAGCCCTGCGAACACATGAGATCAGATCGGTGTCTCTCGGATAGGCACCACATCCCAGCAGTCCTTGTGTTTCTGTCCTGCACCCATTCATCCTTCCTTCCTTCCTTCCTTCCTTCCTTCCTTCCTTCCTTCCTTCCTTCCTTCCTTCCTTCCTTCCCACATGCATCCATTCAGAAATTTTTCTGCTTGCCTGGCCCTCTCTGAACTAGACTGAATGAAAGCAAAGCAGTTGGTGGATATGGCCACATTTTGAAATCTCATGGGCTGTGGAGAGTTTGGAGGAAGATCAGCCTGACACGTGTGTGTGGACTCCTCTCACCATGTCATTGTTGTGCCTTCAGTTTTTGAGGCATAGTGGGCACACAGGAATGTCTGTCACCTGAATGAATGGATAACTCTGCGACTGGCTTAATCTGGTGTCAAATTGTGCTTTGGCTGTTTGCTGGGCTTTCATGGGTAGATGAACAGAGGATGCCACATGGCCTTGGCTCACAGGGTCTGCCCCTTAGCCGTATCTTTTCCTGTATTCAAGCTGTGTGCAGAGTACCTACTCAGTGCTGGCATCATGGTGGGTGTGGGGTTCAAGTGCACTGTCCATAGTTAACACCAATGATATGAGAGTGTACATGAGTACTCCCCCAGGTTCCTGACTAGGTTCATTAAGCTACTCACAGATGAGAAAGCAACACTGTTCGCTTGAGGGACTAGAATGGACTGGAAGCCTTTGAGGGAAGGGAAACATAAAAACAGATTGGGGGAGACAAGGAAAAATGCTTAAGTAACTGCAAGCACTCAGGAACTCTTAGCGCCCAATGAGGCCTCCTTGACACCTGCTGGGGACTGATGGCCTTGGAAAGGCTCAGTCTGGGCTCCCAAGAAGCTCACAACCCTCTTAGGAACCCTCCACAGGCTCCCCAAGCCAGGGAAGAGAGGCTGGAAGATGCTAAGTATATAAGCTACTCTTTCCATTGCTGTAACCACATTCCTGACAAGAAGCAACTTACAAAAGGGAAGATTTCTTCTCAGTCATGAGATTGATTGATCAAATCATGATGGTTTGAGGGAGTGCAGTCCATCATGATGGAGAAGGTATGACTGAAGGACCAGCCCCTGTCTGTGTCAGCCAGAGGCTACTTACATCTCAGTCTATTAGGAAGCAGAGAGGGAGGAAGGAAGGGAGGGCGGGAAGGAGGGCGGCAAGGAAGGAGGGAGGGAGGGTGGGAGAGAGGAAGGGAAGGAAGGAGGGAGGGAGGGAGACATAAATATTTGTGCTCAGCTTATTTTCTCGTTTTTATTCAGTCTGAGACACCAGCCTATGAAATAATGTTGCTCATAGAGTGAGCCTTCCCTCCTCAGTTAAACCTCTCTGGAAATGGCCTTACAAACACACTCAGATGTGTGTTTCCTGGAAACTCCAAATCAGGTCAAGCTGACAATGAAGATTAGCTATTATACTAAGCATACAAGCAGTAGAGGGTCATATGGTGGGGTGTGAGCAGGCTGGTGGGAGTAACAGTTCCAATGTATTGCCCCAGGAGACTTGAGGCTGGGAGGACAGTCAGCTGCCCCGTCACAAACAGGTCGCTTGGGTTAATTAAAAGTGTGTCCAGAGCCCTGGGAAGTCAACTCCTCCCTCTGAGATGGGGAGACTGGGCCCTGGAGTCTGGGAAAGCTTTCTGTGAGAGTCATGAGATGCTAAGATTCATGAGCTGAGGTGGAGGCATGGGTGGAGTGACAGGGCCTGAGCAGAGTTAACAATTTAATCGTGCTTTCTGCTGCTCATGTTCCACATGATTGTCATCCCCATAACTCTTGGGCAATTGCAACTAAGTTTTGCTTAAGAATAGAATGCTGATTAAAGGCAAAAGACTTGGCACCATGGAAGACAGAGGTTCCATTCTATCGCTGACATTTACCAGCTGTTGGGCCTTCAGTTTCTTAACTTTGCTGGGCCTCAGTTGCCCTGTTTGAAAAACAAGGATAAAAGCCACCAGAGAAAAATGTGTTAGAGACTCAGTAGGCTTCTTGCCTTGCCAAAGATACACAGAAATTCTTCTATCAAACACTATATTGTGCACTGGGGGCACTGTGGCCTGTAAGTTCAAGGCCTCTCTCTTCCTTGTAAAGGAACTTCCTTAATACAGAAACCCACCCATTCTACTTAACAACCAGGAAAATTTCTGTCATGCTCCCCAATTGATCACCTACTACATGCAAGCACTTGAACGCCTCATGTTGGTGGGCAATCTCCCTCAAGATGTTGAAAAGGGGATGGAAGTGTAGCTCAGTGGATAGAGTCCTTGCCTAGCATGCATGAAGCCCTGGTCCAATGCCCAGCATCACATAAACCAGGCATGGTGGCTCATGCCTGTAATTCTAGCACCTAGGAGGGGAAGGCAGGAGAATCAGGCGTTTAGGGTCATTCTCAACTATGTAGTGAGTTGGAGGCCAGCCTGAGATATGTGAGATGCTGTTTTGAAAATCAAGAAAAAATAAAAACCTGTGATGAAAAAAGGTAAGGGGAGTTCTAGCATTCCAAATGCTTGCAAGCCCTCGGACTGGTCAGGGATGCATCGCTTTTCCTGTACCTGCAACCTGCCGCTCAGGTCACCATCTTAGGGTCAGAGTTCATAAGCCTCTTCTTGACTCTTGATGCCATCACAGAGTACACCAGCAGTATGCAATTTTGTCTTTCCAACACTTAATATTGATCCTGTATAAAGTAGGTGCTCAATGAAAATTAAATGACTCACTTCTTCCCCATGGTCTCCACCCTGAGACCACGTGAAATTTTCCCTCCACCATACCCTGGGTCTTGCCTGCTGCTAAAGTTACCACTGTGGAAACACAGCAAATAAACACATTTCTTCTGCACACAGTGGCCGGTGGCTGTTGGGACCAGAACCTCCAACCCTAAACCCGTGCCTGCCTCCTTTGCCGTTGTTACTAAGGAAGGCCAAAGCTGGAGTTCTGTGGTGGGTGTGATCTTTCCTGTGGCAGCCGTGGGCCCTTAGGTAGCATCCACAAGGCTCGTGATACATAATCGTGGGCAGAAAACCTGTCTTAGTCCCTTCCTAGGCTGACCTCGCCAGCATCCTCCTGAGACCCTCCCTGCCCCAAAATAGCCCTCTCCCAGCATCCTGCTGTACACGCTGTTTGCCAGGGGTCGATGGGCTCCCAGGCCCAGGGCAGGATGCCAGAGGTCGGCCCTCAGGGAGAAGGGTCACGGTGGACAGAAGTTCAGAGGAATAGGTGTGGGCCATCTGTAAAGCACACAGGGCAGGAGAAGGGCCTCAGGAACAGATAGCCATACCGTGGGACTTCCTAGGCCACTTGAGGCCAATACAAACATGAGGGAAATTTTCCCATTCCCTGTCCCTGTTCTTATTAACAAACGAGGGGCAGGCACAATATAGACTCCAGTTGGCAAGGAAGCAGCTCCTTCAGGCCTGTCTCGCTGGGGCTGGGTGGGGCTGGCGGCATGAAGGTTGGTAAGTGGCTGATCGCTTCTTTCTGGGCCTGGTCTCTGAGGAGAAGGGTAGGCTAAGGTCTTGAATACCAGACTGCAGGGTTTGGGCAACAATGGTGGGAACAAAAGGTGAGGGAGTCCCCTGGGGCATCGGCCCTGGAACAGGCACATAGATACAGGAAGGATGGAGCAGAGAAGAGATATTGGTCAGGTCAGTAAGGAGAAGCCACAAGGAAGCAAGCAGGAAGGTACCCAAAGAGTACAGGCTCAGCCATCACTGTGACAAATGTCCCCAAGTACAGGGACTTAAAGTCGAGGAGTCTCTCTGACTGAGTGTGTCACAGGTATGGGGGACTGGGAGGTGGTTATGTCATCTGTGTCCCGCGGCTTCCCTCTCTGAGGCCTTCGCAAATCCATTAGTTCTCATAGCACGAAAGGAATGGGGATTAGAGGGGGCAGAACTTAAGGGAGAAGACACTCTTCAGTCCTGCCCACACCCTTCTGGCCAGACCATAGTAATAGGATGATCTATGGTATGCCAGAAGGCCACTGTGCTGAGCAGTTCAATGTCCGGTTAGAATTTTATTACCATGGTAGTGCATACTTGCAATCTCATTACTCAGGAGATAGAGGCAGGAGATTGAGGAGTTCAAAGTCAACCTCAGCTATGTAGCACGTTCAAGGTCAACGCTGTCTCAAAAATCCCATCAATCAATCAGTCTTTATTTCCATGGGAGGTGGGAGAACCAACATTCAGAGCCACCAACACTCAGTTCACAGATCCTTCCAGAAAACACCCAGATCAAAAGCTTTGAGGATTGAGGAGACAGTGTGTCTGGGCTTGACCAGCAGTTTACGGAACGGAGTCAAGAGTGGTGACAGGAAACAGATGGGTCAGGATGAGGGTGGGAAGAGATGTGAAGACTGGAAAGAGGCAGGCTCAGAAGTCGGGTACTCTGTTCAGATGGTGTCTGTGCTGGGGGCAGTGGTTGTCTTGGTTACTTTTCTCATCATTGTGACTGAAGAATACCTGACAGAGGCAACTTAGGGGTGGAAAGGTTTATTTTGGCTCATGGTTCAGGATGACATGCATCAGCTGAAGAGGCTTGGTGGCAGCGGGAATGTGAGGGCCACGTGTGCACATGGAAACTGAGAGCTTGAGGCAGAAGCAGAAATGAATTGCAATCCCCAAGACTTCGTCTCCTAAAGGTTCCACAACCTACCCAAACAGCATCACCAGCTAGGAATCAAGTGTTCAGACACCGGGCAGGGGGGCATTTCATACCCAAACTAGAGCAATCATTGATGGTTGCCTGGAGACCAGTACTCAGTCAGGCTCTGAGGTTGTATCTAGATTAACAGATGTGGTAATCCATTAATGATGTCTGCCATGGGTGCAGGAGTGGTGAACATCAGCACCTGTATGCTGGTTGTGCTTCCTCACCAGACATAATGTGGCATGAGGGAAAGGTTGGAGAGCAAGGACGTGATCCAGTCCAGTGTGTATTGTAGACAGGAAATAGCTA